TGTAAATGAGAAATTGCTCTCCTTTCCAGCCATATAAATAGACAATTTAATCTGAAGAGATTTTCAACACCGAGAGTTACAATGAGAAAATTTACAGAGAAGCCAAGCTTTGTCTTGTGCAAGTTAAAGTGAATAATCAGAGCTTCATTAAAATATCACTATATATAATTCAGTTTGAAAATGAGAATTTAAGATTTGGGATGAGAATTAAATGGCGTTTCTAACTAAAATATCTGTGATCCATGCAGATGTGTGTAAGTCCATGTAAGTTACTTCTGTTGATTGGATGTGGCAGTAAGAACCCTCAAGAATATTTAATGAATGTGTAGATTGCATTGTTTAGAAAGGCTCTGGTTTTGCAGGGGTGTCCATTTACATACAATCTTAATTTTTTAAGCCTTGGAGCTTGTCAGATGCAGTGTGATCAGAAATTCGTCAGTGCAGCTCTCTGTGAGGTTTTGTCATTTTTTCTCCTTGCAAATACTTTTCTTATAAAACTCAGATTGAATGCATGGCATTGTTAAAGCTTCTGTTGTAGCCTTTGGATGTTACTCACATCAGCAGTTGACAGTACAGAAGCAGCAAAGGAGGTGACCAAGTTGTAACTGCAGACAAGTCAGAGCTGCAGGATGAATAAGCAGAACAGGAATTTCAAATTAGACATTTGGAAAATCCTTGTCACTAGCACTGAACTAGACAGCAGTTTTCAGAGAGTTGCAGAATTACCATTTCCCTGTTTTTCAGTACTCACCTTGACAAAAGTCACACGTGTCCTGGTACCACGTTGATAGTGATGTGACCTAGGAAGAAAACCAAACCCATCTAAGATGTGAAGGAAGAAAACCTAAAAAACTTAGGCAGTTGTTGCTGTTAAAATAATAGACACTTTTTTGCGTGCCATACCCTTATTTCTGGACCAGTGTACTGAGAATTCCTGGCTCTGTTTGGCACTCAGAAGCCTCCTGAACATTTTTTTTCTGGTGTTTGCCACCTCTTACTCCTAGCCCAGTGTCCAGCTGCCCCGTGACCCTGGGCATGCACACTGGTCAGTGCACCCTTTGTGGCACACTCAGGTACCTTTGGGTGCCTGTGGGCTGCAGGAGCTCGTTAGAGGTACCAAACACCAACAGAAAAATCTTTGAAAGGATTGCTCTGTTCATCCTATTATGGCACTAAAATGGCCTCATCCTTTTCAGCTCTCCTAATCTATCAGTCTCTCAAGAATGTCTGCTACTGTATAACAAAGAGAAAGCACACCTGTCCTAGTTCCTAACAACTCATACACTTTATTAGATTTTTCCAATTAGGGTTTTTCCAGGGCAGTTATGCTGGAAGGTGAACAGGGTAGAAAAGCAGTGCTAGTCAGAAGAATAGTATCCAATTCCACATGAGAGAGCAAGTCTTAAAGAGGAAAAAAAAAAACCTAAAAAGAAGCAAACGGGTAACATTTCCTAAAATACAAAAGACTTGAAGCATATCAGCCTGAGCTTGCTGAAATATTATACTCTGTTAATGTTAACTCACTGTAATATGTATTTTGCATTATTTTATTCTACATGAATACAATATAGGCATTAAAATATTTTGAAAGCGATGTTATCAACCAAGAGAAAAAATATCAAAACATTTCTACTTTAGTAAGAACTTTGCAACAAATACATTTCCTTATTATAGTGCATACAAGATGCAATGGAACATTTTCATTTACTCCAAACTGCATTGATCAGAAGAGTAGTATCCCCCATGAGAATTTTTTTGATCAATGGTAAAATTCAATTGCATTCCCAGGCAATTTCTTTCTTGAGGTAAAATTCTAGATGGGAAAGCATGTCCCATTTCAAAATCCTTATTTCACTAGGACACCAAAACCCAAAATTATCATAATCTGCATGCTAAGATGTCTACATGTTCATGCAGAATCAGCTGAAATTTCCATGATAGGGAAATAATTATGCCAAAATGGTTGGGTTTTGAAGAAATGTTTTAAAATTATATGGGTGTTGAGTGAGAAATTGACCTAATTTATAGTGTCCTAGCATCTTACTGTTCTTTACTGAAAACAGCAATAATTCTATACTTGATATGAAAAACTCTTTAATAGGATATAAATCAATACCTTGGAATTGCTGCAAAATAATAGAGATGCCTAAAAAAATTAATCTTGTCAATAATCTTGTACTTAATGAGATTTAAAATTATGGTAGAACTTGATATTGGTTCTCTGCTCAGTCAAATATAAATACTCATTGAATTTCTCAGCCTTATGCTGAGAAAATGATATTTTTAATTTACATACTTAAAGAGAATGTTTAGAGATGCGTCCGCATTCTGAATGCTATAGATTAAATTTGTGGTAAAATATTCAAATATTGCATGTTAATACTATGTGTTTATCTGATGTCTCCAAGTGAATATCCCTAATTACTGGAGAAGTGTGGGTTTGGGGGTTTTTCTGTGGTTTTTTAAATGCAGGAAATATTTTGGACTTTAGTATATAAAAGTAACAGCATTGTAGTTTCACTTTCCACAGTCTCATGTTTATTCTGCCTCAGTTGTGATGAAATCTGTGGGGGGGGTGATTTTGTTTTGTTTTGTTTTGTTTTTTCCTCTTTGCTGAGAAGGTAAGGAAGAGCTTTTTCTCTTCTCATTAAATGCATGTTTAGAGAGTTTCCCTGTTCTTGTCCTATGGGTGAGGTACAGGAATTCCCCATAACTGGAAGCTCTAGAATTTTGTCCCAATATTGGTACACGGACAGTTGCAGATGGTTGGAGGCAGTCACCTTTTCCAGCCTCAAAATTATTTTAAACATCATAATATCCTCCTTTATTTCTCCTCATTGCATCTGCTTTCCTATCCTGCACCTTACAGAGAGCTTTAAAAAGATGAAGGGAAAGCAGCAGTGCTTTGAGGAAAGCACTTTGATGGGCAAGTGCTCTGCTGCCAAAATCAGCAGCACTTTATGGGCAACCAAACATTTTAAAGTTTTCATTCTTGTTTACAGAGCTAATTAAGAATCTTTGTAGCACTATTTTCAAATGGCAAACTATCAAAATTACACTGACTGTCTTGTGAATGAAAAGGTTTTGCTGAATGCCTCACCAGGAGAAAACGGGGGGAAACCTTCTGGCCTTAAAAACCAGAGAATGTATTAAATATACATTTCTTTATAATCTGCATTAAATAAATCATTTAAATGGTAGTATGTGCATATGGAGCATAGATTGTTGTGCTCATTTGAGAATATTCCCCAAGCAATTCTATTTGTTTAAAACAGTGTTTGGTTTCCCATTAAAAAGTAAGCACTTGCCAATAGCTCTGCAGACTTAGAATACTGTAATGAGTTCCATGTGGCAGGACTGCTCTAATAACACTGTTTTCTTTAATTTTTGTTATTTTAAGAGGAAAAGGAGGCACATATAGTCATTTTAGAATGTAGTGACTCAGCATTTTATGCTTTATGTTTTTGTGGTCTTTGCTGAGTTGTTGGTAGAACTGGAGTGTCATAGTAGTTCTTTCCAGCTGTAAAATCTATTAGTAAATTGAACTGATGCAAATCAATGCTGATGTAAATGCTAGACACAGACCACCAGTTTCATGTTGAAGTAAAGGGTTAAAAACATAATTCTTAACCATTTAGATATTCATACATGGCTTTTATTTATTCTCAATATAAACCATGTAGTTTTGCCCACAGACATATTGATTGGCCTCTTGGTGTGATATACTGGGAGCCCATTTGTGCAGGTGCTTGCTGACAAATACATGGCATGGCTATAAAATCCAGGCCTTGGGAAGGGACTGGCTGTGTACTGAGAGGCAACTGTTCTGTTCTGATTTTAATGTTACAAGTGCGTCTTTAAATTTCTGTAGACAATCTTAAAATGCAAGTCGAGGCAAAATGCATAAGCAGCACTACAAAATGAGTTTGTTGTTTTGTAACAGATCTTAAATCAACAGTGTTTATTAGTAACCTGCCAGCAAATATTTGCTTGCATACCTTTTATTATTTCAAAGGCTTTTATGAGCAGTATGTCACAGTGCTAGTGTCATTTACATTCAGACACCACTTTCTAATGTTTTAAGCTTTCCAGAGATAACAGAGAGAAAAATGTTAGGAAAATGAAACAGATATTTTCTAATAAGTAATTTTTGCAAGTGTTTTGTCTCTTCAAGATGCTGTGACATCCTGTTCAGCTGAAGGAACACACCACTTGAATTGCACGACTCATTCACCTTAAATATTTAATAATGCTTTCATTAGTTGCACTGAACCAGTGGAGTAAGATCTGTAATATCTACTGCTGGTCATCATTTTTATTCATTGTGGTTTAATAAGCATTATAATTACAGACTGAGGAAGAAATATGAGCTAACTTTGTGGTTTTGCTTGGGACTTCTGTGCACACTGGTATGATTGGAAGGGATTATACAAGCTCTGTGAGCATAGCTGAGTGTATTCTAATATAGTAATGCAGAGTTCCCAATCCTGACACAATATTCTTCATATGAAAGTAACTGCAGAAAAGATCCTGCATAAAATTAAGTCCTGACACTATTAACTCCATCTGGCTTAGTTGTGAAATATGAAAATTTGAAGGCCAAGTGGAATTGTTTTTGGCAGGTGTTCTAATGCATGCATTATCAGTGGAATTAGACTTCAACTATTTTTACCAACCGTTTCCTCTATTTGCTTGCAACTTACACAAATAGCAAAGTTATTTAGAGACAACAGTCAGTTAGAAAAGCTTTCATTTGGAAAGTTTGTCAGAGTTCAAGCTTAAAGGCCATTTGTAGGCATCATAACCTTCTGTGCTCATTTCTCGAGTAAATATAGATGATGATGATTATGATTTAGTATAACTTTCTTACTTTGATATCGCAATTATGACTGTGTGCATGCTATTTGCATTCTTGTGTTTTAATGGGAGGTATAGTAGGGCAGACTGATATCTGGTGCATTTTTTAATGTTTTGTTCAAACGTCATTTTTTCCTCATCAGCAACTTATGCGGGAGCGACAGCAGATGGCCAGCCGCCCCTTTGCTTCTGTCGATGTAGCACTGGAAGTAGGAGCTGAGCAAACAGACTTTCTACGAGGGCCATTAGAGGTAGGAACAGTGGTGCTGACAAGGGACCATTGTGATTTGCATATTTATACTGCCAGTCTCATCTGCATCTGCTTCTGAAACCAAGCAGCATCTGATTACCTGGAGCTGACAAGTCTCAGCTACTTGTGTTTTGTCATTTCCAAGGCACAGAGTTGTAATCTCGTGACACAAGCTGTACCAAAAGCCACTGGAGAATCCATTAGCCTGGCCTGGGGTGACAGTCAGCTCACCTGGCAGTCCTGTTGTGATGGATGTGAGCTGCAGGAATGCAGGACCTGGGCATTAAGGAGGCAGCAAATGTCATGCTCAGTCCTTCAAGTACACAGTGCCATGTAGTTAACATCTATCTTAATTAACAGACATTACAGCAAACTAACTAACTAACTAAAGCATCTTAGAGTAAAAATTCAGTGTTGTTTTGCACACAGAGGTTTAAAGCATACAGACTGTACTGCATGGTTGTGTTTGTAGGAGATGGCTACATTACTGCATTCTTTTATTGCAATTGCAGTACACTGGAAAAGAAATAGCAATATGCAAAGCAAGATTATATTGGAATGGTGTAATAATGCATGAAATGGATTCTAGAAGTTTCACCTGAAAATAGAGGGAAAATTACAATATATGGATAATAATAAATATGTAATCTAGGTTCAGCTTCTGGGACATGATCATCTACTCCTTTAATTTTATTTACAATATTTTGTTTACAGTTATTACTTCACCCTATTTATGGTGGGACCTGGAATGAGGTGTGCTAGCTCAGAAATCTTTCAAGATTGTACTCTTCATTGCTGCCAATTCTTAAATTCAAAGCTTCTCTTCCTTTTCTCAATAACCAATCTCAGTGGAAGGTTAAATACAATCTGTCAAACCTCCAAGGTTCATGGAGAATGAGCAATGTGAAAAACAAAAGCATAGCAAAAAGAAAAAGATTCTGCTCTTGAGTACTTACCAAAGTGAGGTGTTCTGTCCTACTATTGAACAGGAAGTCACCCCAATTATTCTGTCACAATTTAAATATTTGGAATAGATGGTGAGTAAAAATGACATATCTCTTTGAAGAAGCTGTGCTATTTGCTGGCCTAATACTAGACCCCTCTCATTCTTCACCAAAACCACCTTACTTCTGTCTCCTCTTATCTTGGAACAGAAGACTCTCCAGCTCCCCAAGCTGAGGACACATTGCACTGCAGTTAAAAGTTATTTTTTTTTTCAATGTGATTTCATTGTCTCTGTACTGGTATCTGAGAAGATTTTTTTTCTGTTTTCTTTTCAAATGTTGGCAGTGAGTGGATGATGAGGCATCCACATTCTAATTTTCTACATACTGATTATTTAATTAAACTTTAGAAGTAAACATCACAACTTAATTGCTACATTTTCTTTCTTGTGCCTTTTATTAAGCACTAAAAGAGGTAGATCCTAAAATATTTTAATTATATTTTACAGTTTTTATTACATTCTTTTTTCTAGCCAAGCATTTTCTAGCAATTGTTTAGAATTCAGCATCTATAGTGTTTTTTTCTTAATTAATACATAGTTATACACAGAATGAAGTCCATTCAAGATTTCCTTGGAATTACAATATACTGATCTATATCCAAAAAAACAGCCTGTTTTTTTGTGCTGAGGATTAAATGAATGTGTTTCAAGTATCGATTGTCCCCTGGTATATATTCCGTAAAAATGAAGGAGCTGTATTAAGCTTCTTTGTGAAAGGACACTAAAAGTTTTACTTGTCATTCTGTTTTTCATATTCTGCTCTTTTGGACTGAGGGGAATCCAGGTCACACATTTCCAGGATGCAGTGCTTAAGAACCAAATAGTATGAAATAGCTGTAAACATCATTTTGTTGTATAAATTTAGAATCATTCAAGAACTTTAATAATTTCGTCGTCTCTGATGCACATTGGGAGGCTTAAAGCTAGAGAACTTTTGTGAAAAAATGAGAATATATGGTAACTTGAAAATGTTCTGCTGGCATTGCAGAGATCTTGCACTGATATACCAGGGGTTCCAATTTTGAGGATGGTGCATTGCATTCCCTCTCCTCACACTTTAATTGACATCGTCTGTTACTCGCTGGTACTTTGGACATTGTTGTTATACTTTTATTGACGTTGTAATAACTCTGACACCTGCAGTGACACTGCATTGATCCCTGGGCCCTTTGGGCACTGTGTAATGTCACTGAACTCTTGCAGACATTGCTGCAGGTCTCCCATTCAGCTGCACAGTAAAGCTGCTCTTCATTAATGTCACCTGCCTCACGTGGTGGTGGTTTTGTACAGCTCGTGTTCGACATTAGTGCTGATGCTCTGGTACATGGCAGTATTCATATGACTGCACATGGGAATCCCAGGATGCTGTTTGGTCAACAGCTAAATTTTAACATTTATTTGTAAATGTCTATAGCAGTTGTTTCACCGTAGAGGTTTAGCTTGCAGTACTAAGGCACTTTTTACCCAGTGCTCAGAGAAAAATTAAAAAAAAAAAAACAAACCAAGAGTATAAGTACTGCACTTAAAATGGTTGCCTAGTTTAGATACTTAGAATACAACTGATAATATTTGAGCCTATTTTCAGTGAGCAGCAATTTGCAACAGAGTAAAATAAAATCCTGAAAACACTACAGAGGAGAGTTGCACCTCAGTTATTTTTTGGAGTCTCTATCAAATCAGTCTATCTTTGTTAATGTTTTGCCAACAAAATGACAGTATCTCAATATTAACTCCTTCAAAAGACTTTAATCTGCATCATATTGCTCTTCTTCCCTGCTGAGTGGGTTTTAGGCATTGGCAATAATAGCCTTTGTTCTTACCCATTTCAACAACATCATTTATCAGTTTTTACCTCCTCAGGCCACCTTTACATGAACGAGTCTCATCTTGTTATCCATTCTGTCATGTTGGCTTTATAACAACTCTTAAATGTTTTATTGTTGGTTTAAACTTAACACAAAAGGAAGCAGAGTCAGTTTTTCCCTTGCCCTCCTTCTCTCCTGTATCACATCAACCACTGCCTTGCTGATGATACTGATGGGATGTTAGTGTCTCAATTCTAAATGGGCCAAGCAATACCCACTCCTGCTGTGCCACAATATTCATGATATTTAACCCATGCTACTCCGAATGTGCATCTACATCTGCTTCTGTAATGATTTCCATTGCACTGCTTGGAAGTGCTGAAGTCTGGGTGAGCCCTTGCAAGGAGGGTCAAGCTGGAGGCAGGGCACCCCTCACTCCCTCCTGGGGAGAACAAGAGCAATCTAAAATTCCTGTGGTGGAGCAGGGGAAGTCTGGAAGGCAAAGACCCTCTGGATCCCAAGAGAGGAACAGTCCAGTGCAGCTCTGGTGAAGTCACTGGTGACCCAAGGGAAGGTAAAAGGAGAGAGAGAATTCCCAAGGGCCCCAGCAGTAGCACATAGCACAGGCTGTTAAGGACAGAGCCAGGAAACAGCAGAAGGACCCTGTCCAGAGAGTTTGAGAATATTAGCTATTTTGTGATACCATCATAATTTTTTCCAGTACAAGAATCATAAAAAAAAATCAAAGTAACATCATAGATCAATAGGTACTCATTGCTGAGCTTCTTGGCACTCGGTGTCCTCAGTGTTAAAATGTTTTTTATTCCTTTCATTTCTTTTTTCCAGACATCTGAACTATTTCCAGACTAGGTTGCTTTTTACTTCAGTATATACCAAAAGCTAAATCATTTAGGCTATCTTCATATTCTAAACCTCCTTTAGGCAAATTTTTTTTCCCTAAAATGTAAATCACTTTTGAAGAGTTTCTTCTACTGTGCTGCTGACAGTCATTTCAGTTAATCTGTACATTAATTGAGAAGTGAAAAAAAATTTTTCCTCTTCGCCAAATTTCTGGGTATTTTCTTTTTTTGAAATTGGGACAGATCTTTATCTGTCTTTAGGTAAGATAAGGTAGATACTGCTGTAAACACTTCATGTGTGGTCATACAAAGGCTCTGAACAGCAGCATCCACTGTGCTGCATCTGCTGGAGTAAACACAGGTGTGTTATTGCCTGCAGAAGAACCAAGTGCAGATTTACTGCTGTGATGATGATCCTCTTGATGTATTTGTGGCATTACTTGGATTTATTTTTTTTCAAATCAATATTATTTCATAATTATTTCTGCAGAAAAGCATACGGTAGATCTTTCAGTCATTTTCCCATCAAATTACTGCATTTCCCCTAGAGTTCCTGTAGATATTAGACCATCCTCTGCTTCTGTCAAGGTACAATGATGTCAAAAATTTTGAATTTCAAATAAAATGTTTGTTTCTCTAGCAAATCATGTTCTTTAGTGAGTAATATTTATGATGCATTGAATTAGTTTTGAATTTCACACACTTTTGATAAGTATGAAGCCAATATTGGCCATTAGTTGTCATTTATTTGAGTAAATAATTGGAAGGTGTGCACTGACACAAGCAACTATAATTTTAAAAAAGAATGGCTGCTGGAAATTAAAGTGACTTACCAAAACACATTAAAATCCTGTAGCAGAGATTTGTGGATTTTCAATAATTGTAGTATATATTAATAACTTGTGCTGCTGGCTTCTCTTGCCAATAGAGGGGCTTTTTAGCTTTACAAATAAATCTAGTTAAGGTGGGTTAATTTTCTTATATAGTTTGACTAAATCAGTGAGTAATTTTTGAAAATGCAGCCTACCTTATTTTGAACAAAATTAACCTAGTTGCATGCTTCATCAGCATTGCACCTGCATTGTGTTGATGACATAATGTCTAATGCCGAGGAACAGGCTCTTCCCAACTCCTTGGTACAGATCATCAGCTTTCCTCTTGATATGCTCAGTTCCTAATATTAGTCTCAGTATCAGAGGATAGTTTCACTGCCCTTGTGAAAAAGGAATTATTTATTGTAGATAATGGTGAAATTTTCCCTCGAATGGTCACCTTGTTTCCAGTGACCACAAAGGCAATATGTGTTTGAAAACAGGAACTATTAAACTTT